GGTGTTGGCAAATGTCTGAAGAAGAAGAAAGAGAAAAGATGGGCTATGGATGTTTATTATCATTTAAAGGGGGTTGGTTACAAATTGCTATTGGTCTTAGAAAAGACTAAGCTAAAGAGTTAAATTCAAAAATCTCTTTCTAAAGGAAAAAAAGGAAGATATAATATAAAAATGATGAGATAAAAGGATAGATTATTCAATGTACTTTAATCCAAAAACATCTAGTAATTTCAAAATATTATTGGTATGGATTTTGGTTTATTGACAAAAATTTAAAGTTAATTTTGTTACACTGTATGTATGGTTCTACTCTTATTTAGGATATTATATTTATGCAGCTCATTTAAAAATGTAATATATAGTTAGAAGATACAGGGACACCTCTGCCACATGCCTGGCCTCCACAGCTTTTCTTAGCTGCAGAGGGAGATTCCACAACTCCTTACTTGTATCCTTGACCAGAACCACGTGGCCGAAGCTGCCAAGTTCTGCTGCTTGCCGGGGCTGGAACCCGGCCCCCCTGTTCAATGACATCTGCCTCGGCCTTCTGTTGTTGATTGCTTCTTCACTACTTAAGCTTTCCTTTCATTCTTGTTTCACAGGTTGGAAGTTTAGCTGGGCGGTGTCTTGCTCTGAGATCACCACTCCCTTTATTCCATTTAGCATCAGGCTTTTCTTCAAACTCTTTTCTTTCTCCTTGAGCACTGGACTTAGCACCTTCCTGGTGCTTCTTTGTGACTCTGCTCCTGCTTCAGGATCACTGGCTGCCTTCCGGGAGGGGGTAGGGAGCCTAAGCAAGTGAACAGGGCCAGACTGCTTGTGAGTTGGCAGAGATAGCTCTCCAGGGAGATGGTTTAAGTGTTACAACTCCGCTTTATTCCACAAAGAAAAGGGGATACAAAGGCTGGGGACAGTGGCCTGGGCATCACTTAATTTGAATTAAGTGGCATGCTCCTATCATAAGGCTTCCTATATGGCAGTCGGGTCCTATAGCAAAGCTCCTAGCACAAGTCTTAGTTACAATATGTGCAGCAGGGGAGATTGCTAGCAGGAAACTGTGCCAAGGGTCACGCTACAGATAAATCAGGCTTAGAGACAGCTTTCAGATCAGCTCAGCCCTCCGGGCCTGGGGACCTTCTCCAGATAAGGGCAGGTAGTGAGTAGGAAGTTTTTCTGGGAAGGGAGTCCTCATGTCACAGAGCTTTGGAAAAAGCTGCCAGTCCGTGATAGACTGTGACCTCTGACCAGCAAGGCCTTCCAACACTTCTTTTCTCTTCAAACTGTACATTTTCTATTTTTCCTTACTCAGCTTGTTCCTTTTCATTATAGATCTGCTTAAGAGTGACCACTAATAACCACACAACAGAGTCAGTGCTAGGCTGTTCTGAAATCTTCTCTGCCTATGCTATTAATTCAAAATGCTTCAATTTAGCCTCAGGCAAATTTTTTTGGACAAGGGCACAAAGAATCCACATTCTTTGGCACTTTGTCCACTATCCGGATGGCAGGGAGCATGGCAGAATGCAGTGGACATGGTCCACTGTCTGCATGGCTGGGAGCATGTGGTGGACATGGTCCATTATCCTCATGGCAGGGAGCATGGCAGCATGTGGTGGACATGGTCCACTATCCGGATGGCAGGGAGCATGGCAGCATGCAGGTGGACATGGTCCACTATCCTCATGGTGGGGAGCATGGCAGCATGCAGTAGACATGGTAGCTGAGAGTTCTACATCCAGCTCCACAGGCAGCAGTAAGAAGAAACCCTGGGCTTGGGATGGGCTTCTGAAACCTCAAAACTCACCCAACCCTACTGACACAATTCCTCCAAGAAGACCACCCCTCCTAACCCTTTCAAATATTGTCACTTTGCGGTGGTATGAGTAAAAATGGCCCTCATAGGCTCACATATTTGACTGCTTGGTTATCAGGGACTTGTGGGGGTAGGCACAGCCTTGTTGGTGGAAGTATGTCACTGGGGGGCGGCTTTGAAGTTTCAGAAGCCCAAGCCAGGCCCAGTGGCTCTCTTCCTGCTGCCTGTGGATCTAGATGTAGAACTCTCAGGTATTTCTCCTAAATGGACGTTTCCTGTCCCAATGGACTACCTGGTCCCAAATAACCGACTCAGAGGTTGAATATGAATTCTAAATGCTCAACCAATAGCTCAGGCTTATTACTAACTAGCTCCTACATTCAAATTAACCCTTTTATTAATCTATGTATTGCCACATGGCTCGTGGCTTTACCTGTCCTCTAGCATGTCTTGCTTCCTGGGCAGCTGGCTGATCTCTCCCTTGACTCCACCCTCCTTCTTCCCATCATTCTCAGTTTGGCTTTTCTGCCTAACTTCCTGCCCAGCTGCTGGCCTGTCAGCTTTTTATTAACCAATGAGAGTAATACATATTCATGGTATAGAAAAGGATTGTTCCTGGGCTGGAGAGATGGCTCAGTGGTTGGGAGCACTGGCTGTTCTTTCAGAGGTCCTGAGTTCAATTCCCAGCACCCACATGGTGGCTCAGAACCATCTGTAATGAGATCTGGTGCCCTCTTCTGGCATGCAGGCAGAACACTGTATACATAATAAATAAATAAATAAATAAATCTTTAAAAAAAAAAAGAAAGAAAAGGATTGTTCCACAGCAACTTCTCTGACAACATGTCTGCCTGCATGTTGCCACACTCCCCACCATGATGAGACTGGACTTACCCTCTGAAACTGTAAGCAAGCCCCAGTTAAATGCTTTCTTTTATGAGTTGCCGTGGTCAAGGTGTCTGTCTCTTGAAAGCAATAGAAAACTGACTAAGAAACCCTGTCTCAAAAAAAATGTATAAATAGAATATGTTCCTCTAGTCTAAAAGCTGTGAAGTCCCAAACATAGGCACATGCCTATAAATCCTGCATTCAGGAGGCTGAGGCAGAATGGTGAAAAGTTCAAGTCACAGAGGCTAGAGGGATGGCTCAGTGGTCAAGAGCAAGTACTTCTCTTGTCCAGGACTGTAGTTCTGTCCCCAGTACCCATGTCAGGTGGCTCACAACTACCTGTGACTCTAGTTCCCAGGTATCTAGTACCCATTCCTGGCCTCTGTGGCTATTTACACTCACACATGTATATAGCTATATATGGACACACACATATATACAGGTAACTAAAAAGAAAATCACCCTTCAATTTTTTTCACTATTTTAATTGAATGTTATGAGTGTTTTTCTGCATGCATGTGTATAGTATGTGTGCAGTGTTTGAGGAGGCCATAAGAGGGCATTATATCCTCCTGGGATTTGGGAATCGAACCAGGGTCCTCTGGATGAACAGCCAGTGCTCTTAACTGATGAGCCATCTCTCCAGCCTATAAAAATAAGATAAATATTTTTTAAAAATGTTTGGGCTGAGTGTTGGTGTCACATGCCTTTAATCCCAGCACTCAGGAGATAGAGGCATGTGGATATATATGAGTTTGAGGCCAGCCTGGTCTACAGATCAAGTTCCAGGAGAGTCAGGACAATTTAGAGAGACCCTGTTTTAACCACCCCATCCCAGAAAATAGAAAAATAAGCTGGCCATGGTGGTTCACTCCTTTAATTCCAACATTCAGGAAGCAGAGACAGATAGATCTCTCTAAATTTGAGGCCAACCTGGTCTACAGGGGATTTCTAGGCTAGCTAAAGTAAAGTGAGACAGTATTGTGGGAGGCCCAAAACAGCTTGGCCACACAGTTGCTATGACAGGTTTAGGGACCCAGACACTGCTGCCATGACAGTCTTACTTAACAGTATCTTAAACAAAAATATAATAAAAGAAGAAGCAACCCACTCAAAGACTTTTTTTTTTTTTTTTTTTGTTTTTTTTGTTTTTCGAGACAGGGTTTCTCTCTGTGTAGCTTTGCGCCTTTTCCTGGAACTCACTTGGTAGCCCAGGTTGGCCTCGAACTCACAGAGATCCGCCTGGCTCTGCCTCCCGAGTGCTGGGATTAAAGGCGTGCGCCACCACCGCCCGGCAAGACTTTTTTTTAAAAGGCCTCATTTTGAAAGAAGTTTTGTGTGTGTGATAGGAGGTTTCTAGTTCTGGAGATACAGCCATTTAATCTTTTTGGGTTGTCTTGGGGTGCAGTGCTGCAGGATGAGGAAGGGAAGTTATAGTGAAACAGTGAAATGTAACCCCTGTCCAGTGAGAATGCACTCTATACACTCAGGAAAAATAAGAAAAAAAAGCTCTTTAATGATTGTGTGTGTGTGGCTCTGGCTGATATCCAAAGAGCTATGAACAGAAAATTTTACTACCTTATGTCGATCTTAGATATACGTATTCCACATAAGCAGTCATCTTTAAATCTCTTCAGGTTCTAGCCTGAAGTTAAACAGACAGGAGACTGCTAGTCTAGCCACTTGGGCAGATGGGAGATTTACACAGCAAAGATACTGCCAGAGACTCAGTTCATTCTCTTCAAATAATTGTTGCCTAGGGTCATCCTGCCCACTGGCAGAATTATGCTTCTCTTAAGCTGAGAATGGGGGTGGGGGCCTTATGGCAGCACGGGACTTAACAATGGCTGTTGCCCTGTGTTGTCCCCTGAGGTCCTGTTAGTGGAATCTTCTCTGATACAGAAGTGGGCCTAATGGCTGGCTGTAAGTCAGGTTGTCTCTGTTTGCTGGGTAATGGAGCCTAATGGCTGGTCAATACTGCTGAACAAATATTTACAGAAGCATTACCCTAGTGTCTTAGTTACTGTTCTATGGCTGTGAAGAGACACTATGACCAAGGCAACCCTTATAAAAGAAAGCTTTTAGTTGGGGCCTTGCTCACAGTTTCAGAGGGTTAGTCCATTGTCATCATGGTGGGGAGCGTGGTAGCAGTCAGGAAGGCGTGGCTTTAAATCCTGATCCACGGGTGGGGGTGGGTGGTGGGTGGGGGGGTGGGGAGAGGTGGGGTGGGGTGGGGAGGGGAGACTGAGACTGACTGGGCCTGGTATGAGCTTTTGAAACCTCAAAGCCCACCCCCAGTGACACACCTCCTCCACCAAGGCCACACCTTGTTGTATTCTGGTGAGTGTGTGGATCCGTGTAGATTCACATTCATGTGGATCCGTGAAAAGAAGTACAGAGGCGCCTCAAGGATGAACTTTTAGCCCTTTCCAGCTGCAAGGTGGATTTGCCTCTTCAGACTGACACCCTTGCTGAGCAAAGGGTCTTTTATTGTTATACAAATCACACATTTAGCAAGTCAATTCCTTACACCATAGTCTTTGATCTAAGTCCGCAGACAGACAATGCCAAATGCAAATTCTCAGAAATAATACCACAGTTTTCTGGGCTGTTGTTACTAAGTTTGCACTTAGGCTTTGATTCCCTAGGAAAACTCTCAGCTAAGACTTCAAACAGAAGGCAAAGAGACGGGGTAACAATCACAAAAGCCAGATCAAAGCCAGGTGCTAACACTCCAGAGTCAAACCGGCTAGAGCTTTGTGGGAATTCTCCCTCCTTACCTTTCCCAAGCCGGTCCACTAACTGGTGGAACTCCAATATATGAGGCTATGGAAGCCATTCTCTTTCAAACCACCACACCTAGCAATCCCAAATGTCACTTATCTCTAACAGACCTGGTTACTGTAATACTTATCTTTGGGATATTTTGGAGGCAGTGCTTCCTTAGCTCAGTTTTATTTCGTGTGACTTCATTGTTGTGCCCTGGGCGCGAGACCCCCAAAGAAACCACCAGAGACACGAACTCACCGAAATGCAAAAGTAAGGTTTATTGAAGTAGGTCAAGCTGTGCTGCAGGGACCTTGTCAAGCCACCCAATGCAGTAGAGGCTGGAGGAGGTGCCCACCCCTCTGCAAGCTCAGGTTTTAAAGGCAAAAACCATAAAGTTACATCATTTAGAGGCGCTTGTACAGGTACAATTCTGATTGGCTCAAGTTTTAGGGGCTTTTCAGAATTTCTGTGTTATCTTACTTTGTAGTTTTAACCGGTTGTTTGTCAAACTTTATAGACTACCTCCGGCATTGGGGCATTCTGTGGTTAATCAATTGTTACCAGATAGTCCTTCAAATATCCTGACTTTGTACTTTGACCATCTCCAGCATTGGGGTATTCTATGGTTAATCAGTTGCTACCAGATGGCTCTTCAAACATCCTGACTTTGTTGACCATCTCCAGCATTGGGGCATTCTATGGTTAATCAGTTGCTACCAGATGGCTCTTCAAACATCCTGACTTTGTCCTGGGACCTATGTCAGCAGCTCTGAGAATTTTGAAACTCAGGCCTGTTTCAAGCTGGGGTGAGGGGCTTGCTTGAAATGGGGGTGCTTTGGTTCTCCCTTCATGTCTCCCAGTAAGTTTATTAGTAAATAGTTTACAACATCCATTTCTTTCTTCAGGTTCCTTCTCCATCAGTAAGTAGGACTACTGTGGCTGATTTGGGAAGCCCTGGACGAAGAATGCTCTCAGCTGACCATTGTGGTTAACAGAGAAGTGTGTTAAGCTGTGTTATTCCTATTTTCTGAAGAGAAAACCTTGATTACACAGAGATTTTAGGGTTTTAACTTTAATGTCATTTAAACCATCTATTTCAGATCAACTGATTTGTAGACAAGATATATTTATTAGTTATGAAAATAGTGCTCGCTTTAGCAGCACATATACTAAAATTGGAACGATACAGAGAAGATTAGCATGACCCCTGTGCAAGGATGACACGCAAATTCGTGAAGTGCTCCATATTTAAAAAGAGAAAGAAAAGAACTTCTAACAAAGATACTTTCTCCAAGCGTTTCATTGTTCTTGCTTTTAACCTAACTATCCCTATGTAGACAAGGATGACCTTGAATCCTGCTGCATCACCTGAGTGCTAGGATTACAGCATATGGGGATCCAAGCCTGGTTCCTGATATTCACCCTTTCAACCCAGAGGACCTGCTTTGGGTCTCACAACATCTAAGTCTTCAGCACTGAAGAATACCAAGTCAAATTCATTCCCAGAAGAAGCCATATGTCCGCCCAGGAAATTTGCTCCTGCACACTTCTTGGGCCACTAGCACCCCAGAGGTGACCACGCCAAGCTCTCTGAGGAATTGAGATCACTCTTGAGTTTTTTTTTTTTTTCTTTCTTCTATTGCACTAACTACATTTCCCAGAAACCTCAGCGGTGCGAATACTCTTGTTATGCAAATCACACTCCGCCCCTACCGCTCCCCCGCCCTTTTCCTGATGCTGTCCATGACTTCAGATAATACGGAAGGACTGGGAAATAAAAAAATTTCTAGCTTTTTGGAGTTGGTCTTTAAGGCAATGATGGAGAATTATTCAGGGTTCTATGAATCCTGCAGGATGCGTTTTGGCCACGCCTCAGCCAAACGTGCATAGAAATCCCGCTCTTCGAAAGCCATCTTGTCCGTGGCGGTGTCTCCGACTACGTTTCCCAGAAGCCTCCTCGGTTTCTCGCGGGAAAGTCATGCGCCGGCGGGACTTCAGAGCTTAGCAGGCAATTGCTGAGGTGCAGTGAAGGGTGCAGGGTTTGGGAAGCTTGGAAGGCCCGAGTTGGGCAACCCGAGAGGAGGGCGGGGCAAGCAGCGAGCCCGGGCTTTGTGCGGCAGCGGAGTTGAGGTCGGAATTGCGCGGTTAGTTTGTGAGCAGTGATGGCGCGGTGCTAAGGGGCTGCGTTTGTGATGAGCATCTGTTTCTGATAGCACCGTGGTGGGCATCATCCCTTTGGTGAGTGAGAGCGGGCGAGCTGGGGACCACGTGCGGTATTGTGTGGATATTGTGTGGATGTGGGGAGCTTGTGACTGGCTGAGTGTTCTGTCCCTGTGGTGGCGTGCGATCTGTGATGTTGTGACCATGTGCAGCACAGTACAGGCAGAAAACCTTTGAATTCTGTGCTCGTGGTAAAAGTACGGTTGTATTTGTTACCTTCTGAGTCCCCGAGAGTGGAGTTCTCTTGGCTTCGCGTAGGCTGGTTGCCTGTAGTTGAATGTCGCTACTGTGGGTCCGTGGGGTGTGGGTGTGTGAAGTTTCGGATGTATATCTCTGCGTGCGTTGTATTTTAGCTTTTCCTCATTTTAGAACTTCACGTGAGTGCTAACATGCTCTCCTTTGTGTTTTATGTTTATTTGTACACCTGTGTGGAACTCATCCATGTTAAGTAGGATAGCGGCATACCAAGTTGTTTTGCCGTTTGGTATTCCGGGATCTGAAGTATACTGCACGTATTCATCTCGTCATTAATAGTAGACATTTGAGTATTTCTAGTTTTTAATCCTATAAACATACTGTCGTTTTAATTTTTTAATTTATTTTTTTGGAGACTGTATAACCCTGGCTGGCCTGGAACTTGCTCAAACTCACAGATCACTTGCCTCTGCCTCCCGAGTGCCACCACTACCCCAGACTTATTATAATTCCTTTTACAATAGGATACAGGAACTGCAGTTTCTACTAGTGCAAGTACTGAGTCATGTATTCCACTTTACTAACTGATGCAAAATATACCAGAGCGAGTGCACATATAGCACATATAGATGCTTGCAAGAGAAGTGCTCCATATCCTTACCAACAAATAAATGAATGAATGAATGAATGAATGAATAAATGGGTTTAAAATGTGATTTAAGAAAAAGATTTATTTTTAAGCCTGATGCTCTGGTGCTCTGGAGGCCGAGGCAGGTGGATCTCTGTGAGTTTAAGACCAGTCTACATAGTGAGTTCCAGCACAGCCAGAGCTGTGTAGAGACCTTGTCTCACAAAACCAGAGGGTGGCGGGGGCAGGTGGAGGTAGAGAGGCCTGACTGGCCTCAAACCTGTGGCAATTTTACTGCCTCAGTCTCATGAGTGCTGAGATTTCAGGCATGTGCCATTGCTCTAGTTTATAAAAGAATTGTGTATCTTCGTGGATATGCTTATGTGCACATGAGCCATCTTGCCCAAAGCCCTCCTGTTCCATTCCAGAGCCTGACTTTCTGAAGTTGGGGATGTTGAGACCTTTGTAGCCCCTCGATGTGTGGGGTGAGTTCATGGGGAGTGATTGTTTGGGATGTGTCAAGTGGGGTCTCACTGTTGTCTTTGCCTCTCCTAGTTCTGCTCTGTTACTGAAGAGCTGCACAGAGGAGCTGCACATAGCAAAGCCATGGCTCAGGTGAGGTGTGATTTTTTTGTATTCAAATTGAGTCATTCTTGTCTCTAGTACAAATAAATGTCGGATTTCTTCATCCTGATGATGTTTTGGTTGGTGTTAACCAAGAAGCCTTTCACTTTAGTTATGAGCAGAGCCTGTACAGTGTCACCTTGCTCTAGAGCAGCGGTTCTCAGCCTTTCTGATGCTTCCCCCTTTAACACAGTTCCTCTTATTGTGGTGACCCCCAACCATGAAATTATTTTTGCTGCTACTTCATAACTGTAATTTTGCTACTGTTATGAATCATAATGTAAATATTTTTGTTTTCTGATGCTCTTAGGTGACCCCTGTGAGAGGGTCATTCGACGATTCCCCCCCAAAGGGGTTGCAACCCACAGGTTGAAAACTAAAGGAGAGGGTCTCTAATAGACTAATTGAAAAAACTTTGGGGGTTCAACTTTTTTAAAGGCCAGGCTCACAACCAAAACATGGTGGTGCATGTCTTTAATTCCAGCACTCGGGAGGCAGAAGCAGGAAGAGTTCAAGGCTAGCCTGGTCTACATAGTGAGTTCCAGGCTAGCCAGGGATACCCAGTGAGATCCTGTCCCAAACTAACAACAACAAAAAAGAATAAAGAAAGAAAATAAGTGTGATAGTTCTGCTCAATTTTAGTCTTAGAACCTGGCATGTCTCCTGGTTGATAAGCCTTTTGGGTTTGGAAGTATGACTGCTAGATGGTCAAAACTCTGACATTCTGATGAGCATCCATGAAAACTTAACCATCTGTAATATCACTAGTTTTTTTGGAGGGGGGCGTCTCGACAGCTTTTTATTATTATTTTTTAATCTTATGCATAGGGGTGTTTTACCTGTAACTGTGCCTGTGCACCACATGTATACAGTACCTGAAGAGGCCTGAAGAGGGTGTCAGATCCCCTGGTATTTACAGATGGTGTGAGCCCCAGTGTTGGTGATGGGAACTGAACCTGGGTCCTCTGCAGGAGCAACCAGTGCTCTCAACTGCTGAGCCACCTCTCTAACCCAGTACCATTGTATTAAGCAGCGTCTTTCTCCATCATTTTCCTGAAGCTCAGTAATAAAGGCAATTGACAGTTCAGCAGTGGTGGTTATAAATAACACTGTTCTCAATATTAAGATTGTCTTTTGTGGGTGTTTGTTTGGAGACAGTCTTTCTAGGCTGGCTTTCAACTCATTATTTAGCTAAAGATAACCTTGGGCTCCTCATCCTCCTGCCTTCATTTCCCAAGTGTTGGAATTACAGGCATGTGCCACCATGCCCAGGTTATATAGCTCTAGGGATGGTACCCAGGGTTTCATGCCTACTAGACAAGTGCTTTAACAAATGAGCTACATCCCCTGCTCAAGGAACTCTTTAAAGATTAATATCAACCTAAATGTCTAAAGGTAAATGAAAGTGTGGTGGCTCATCCCTGAATCCCAGCTCTTAAGATGATGGTGGACTTGAGGCTGGCTTGCACTACAGTTAGTTCAAGGCTGCTCTGTGGTACATAGTGAGCCCCTGTCTTGAAAAGCCAAGAACTAGCAGGGTCGTGGTGCATGCCTTTAATTCCAGCAAAGGCAGGCAGATCTCTGAGTTTATGGCCAGCCTGGTCTACAGAATGAGTTCCTGGATGGCCAGGGTTACACAGAGAAACCCTGTCTTGGGGGTGGGGGAAGCCAAGAACTGGGAAGTAGCTCATTGGTAAAATACTTGTATAGCGTGAAAAGGCCATGAATTCCTGGATTTCACGTCAAACATCAAAGGCAAGCATGTGAGCAAGAAATTGGCATTTATTATCTTTAAGATAGAATATTATTTAATCTGAAATAAATATGCCTATAAAGACACTTATTATAACAAGCCTCCCCTCCCACCCTTTTTAAATGTGTCTCATTCTGTAGACCAGGCTGGCCTCAAACTCACAGAGGTCTGCCTGCCGAGCGCTGGGATGAAATGAATGCGCCACCATGCCCAGCATTCTCTTTCCCACTGTTCCTTTGGCTTCTTTAATTGACTTATTGAGGATGGGTGAGTGAACCTGACTTGGTGCACAGGCTATGACTCCCAAGTTCAACAACGTCATTGCCACACATCAGTCAGTGAGTTCTTCCCTTTTTGGTTTTGGTTTTGGTTTTTTTGAGACACATCAGTTTCTTTTGGACGTAGAGATGCCCTCCCCATCCCTTTGTGCCCTCGTTCCCATCTGATCTAGATCCTCTCTAGCCTGCCAGCACGTTCCTGGAACTTACTCTTTCCCTTGGATTTTCCTCTACTTAATAGTCGACTATTTAACTGTTTATAGTTTATTTAACTGTTCATAGTCCGTCGACTTTTAACTGTTTCCGGCATCCCATGGCTCTTTCTGGCTTACTCCCACATCCTCCAGTAGTTTCCTAGGAACTTGTACTTGAGTCCTTCTACGTCTGGGAATGTACACTCAGAGCAGAAAATAGTTTCGTTACAGAATCGTAGGTCAGAATTTATTTTTCTCCACTGGGTTAGTGAAGAATTGTTCTGTTCCTTGTGTTCAGAAGTGTTAGCAATCCCATTATCCTCTGGTTCTCGCTGCATTTATATAACCCGCTGTATCTGGAGGCTTCTAATGTCCTGTCTTTCTCTTCTATCCTGAAATTATACTCTTGGCTCTTTGAGACTAGAGGACCACATGGTGAGAATACCATGAGGCTTTGTATAAATCATTTCCTTTAATACAGACGTCCTCCCAGCTGGATTCTGTGCCTTCCCAGCCTCGTGGGGATAATGGAGGAATTCATTAAGCCCAGATGGCTTTGTCTGGAGGAAACAGTGACATGGAAGCACAGTGATTTGCTCACAGGCCTTCCCTAGGATTCCAGACATTCATACTCACTGCTTTTAGCATGTTCTAACTTACTCCTCTTCTGTTACTTTTCCTGCACAGAAACACTTTATTTTATTATTGTTAATCGAGCAATATGTGGTTATTGTTTCAGGTGTCAGTGCTGTTCCGAGATGTGTACATAGACTTTTCCCAGGAGGAGTGGGAATGCCTGACTGAGGAGCAGAGAGATTTGTACAGAGATGTGATGTTGGAGAATTACAGCAACCTGCTTTCAATGGGTAAGGATATTCATACTGATTTGCCCATTGGTAGGTCTGTTTCCTCCCTTCCTCCAAGTATGAGATGCTCACCCACCTTTGAAGAAACCATTGAGAGCTGGGCATGGTGGTGCACACCTTTAATCCTAGCTCTCTGGAGGCAGAGGCAGGTGGATCTTTGTGAGTTCAAGGCCAGCCAGGGCTACAGTCCTGTCTTAAAAACCCCAAAAGGGAAAGAAAGAAAAAGCTGCATGGAGTTACGGAGGCATTTTGAGTCTCCCTCGTGTTTCAGAGGTGTCCTTCGCCCCTCTGTCACCCTTCCTGTATGTATACTTTGGATCCAGTTCCTGCCAAGCTTCTTGAGAGGTCTTAGATGTGGGGCTCAAGGGGGACACTTGGATGGATTGTGTGTAGCAAGTGAGATGTTTATTAGAAGCGTTATTAACACATGGACAGACAGACAACAGTGTGGCTGAGACTGAGGACACTCCAGGCCCCAGCATCACAGACAGCATAAGGGGAACTAAAGAGTGACAGATCTGGGTTGCTCTTACAGACCTCTGAGGAAGAGGGAAGGGTTCAGCAAGAGCCTGAAGACAGGGCCTCTGATTTCCCATCAGGCAGTGGTGGAAGGGAAGTGTGGCTACCAGTAGGTCCTTTGGTGTGTTCAAGCCTGCAAACGCACTTCTCCAGACGAGAAGTCCAAGTCCTGGAAGCTGTTTGCTGTTGTTCACAGATCTTGCCCTCCACAGGTGCCTGCCAGTATCTGTGAGGCCAGAGAGGAGACTGCAGGTGCTGTGCCCTGAACGGCAGTCTGGTCCGATTTCCAACACTTCTCTTTGCATATCTTCTGTATAAATACTGGAATATGCATTTTCCTGCATTGTCAAAGATCAGACAGCCCTTTCTTCTCTCCTTCTCCTCCCTTGTCCTTTCTCCATCCACTTTCTTCTCTCCTTCACTCCCTCCTGGGATTAGCCCGGGCCTGTGCCACTCTCTTAGGTTTCTGTAGCTGTGAAGAGACACCATGTCCATGGCAACTCTTATAAAGGAAAACATTTAACTGAGGTGGCAGCTACAGTTCTGAGGTTTGTCCATTATCATCATGGCAGGGAGCATGACAGCTGGGTGTGCAGACAGATGTGGTGCTGGAGCTGAGAGTCCTACATTTTGATCAGCAGGCAACAGGAAGTGAACTGAAATACTGGGCATGGCTTGAGCATGTATGAGACCTCAAAGCCCTCCTCTATAGTGCCACACTTCCTCCAATAAAGCCAAAGCCACACCTCCTAATAGTGCCACTCCCTATGAGATTATGGGGCCAATTACGTTCAAACTACCACAACCACTGACCTGCAGTTCTGTCAGACTTGCTTTGTTAACTAGGTTCTTTGTTTTGTTTTTATTCTGAAGTTCCACGCCCTCCTTGATTCATCCATATACATACATATACATACATATATATATGTATGTAATACATACATATATATATGTATGTATTACATATATATATATATATGTTTTAATTAAAAATTTTTTTTAAATTTTTTTGGTTTGTCAAGACAGGGTTACTCTGTGTAACAGCCCTCACTTGTCATGGAACTCGCTCTGTGGACCAGGCACACCTTGAACTCACAAAGATCCACCTGCCTCTGCCTCCCAAGTGCTGCGATTAAAGGCGTGCGCCACCACCTCCTGGCTCATCCATACTTTTAAGTATTATTTACTGTTTCTCTTAGTGTGTACAGTTCTCAGGTAGGAACTACAGAAGTTAAAAAATAAACTGCAGCCATGTCAAGTTCAGTGCTGTCCTGCCATGGCAAGCACTGGCCCAGAGGCTGCCATAGAAACTGTCATTTTGGGGCCCTGTTCTCGGCCCTGTGCCTGGGGTCAGGGATGAATGTGGTCACAGACAACAAGCCTCTAGACCTCAAGTCTGAGAGGCATGAGGCTGTAGGTGGCAGTGGCTTTCACAACTAATCTTTGAGGTCTGCTCCACCTCCCCCAAAATAGTGATATTTAGGTCTAGGTGTGATGTGTATGTGTGTAAATGCACATACACTTAAAAATGGTTTTCTATAGCTTTTTCAAATGTCCTTAGTGTTACTTATCCCTCCTCTGTAGTTGAGATTTTTTTTTGGACTGCTAATCAGCTCCCAAATAAAGACACAGAGACTTATTAATAAATATGAAAGCTTGGCCTTAGCTTAGGCTTGTCCCACTAGCTCTTTTAACTTAATTTAACCTGTTTCTATTCATCTACGCTTTGCCTCGGGGCTTTTTGCCTTACTTTTATCTGTATGTCCTACTTTCCTGCTTCCTCTGACTGATTGGCCCTGGCATCACCCCACCACCACCACCCACCCAACCCTGCCCCTGCCTCTAAGTTCCTCCTCCTCCTCCTTACTCTCCCTGCCCGGAAGTCCCATCCATACCTCCTCCCTCACTATTGGCCATTCAGCTTTTTATTATATCAATCAGGTGCCTTAGGCAGGCAAGGTGAAATAGCAACAAACCTTTACATAATTGAGCAAATCCAACACATCTCTAGATAGTTAAACAAATGCAACACATCTTTGCATAGCTAAATAAATATTCTGCAACATAAACAAATGTAACACATCTTTGCATATTTGAACAAATATTCCGAAGCATCCTCCCTTTCTCTCCTGTGTTGTCTATCTTCCCCAATTAAAGGACACCCCCGACACACCACTGTAGGCGGAGCTTTCCTGTCCCAACAGTCTGCTTCAAAATAATCACTCAGAGGCTTAATATAAATTATAAATGCTC